TAACTGTCAACAGTGACGTGGGTGCCAAGGCGCGAATGTGCTGACTGCTTGTTTGATGACAGGAGATATTTCGTCTTGTCCTCGTTTACCACCAGACCCATTCGCTTTGCTTACCTATCCAACTTGGAAAGGGCAGAACAGACTTCGCGGTTTTTGTTACCGATGATGTCGATGTCATCGGCATAAGCCAGCAATTGCACGCTCTTGCAGTAAATTGTTCCTGAGCAGTTCAGTTGTGCAGCTCTTATTATCTTCTCCAACATCAGATTAAAGAAGTCACATGAAAGGGAGTCGCCCTGTCTGAAACCCCGTTTTGTGGCGAACGGCTCGGAGAGGTCTTTACCAATTCTGACGGAGCTGGTGGCATTGCTCAACGTCATTTTACACAGCCGTATGAGTTTTGAAGGGATGCCAAATTCAGACATAGGCAACTCCTTTTAGTGCTGTCAAAAGCGGCTTTAAAATCGACAAATAGGTGATGAGTGTCGATCCTTTTCTCGTGGGTATTTTCCAAGATTTGGCGTATTGTGAATACCTGGTCTATGGTAGATTTGCCAGGTCTAAAGCCACACTGATAAGGCCCAATCAGTTCATTGACGGTGGGCTTCAAGTCTTTCACACAATACGCTCGATAAGACCTTGTAACCTATGCTTAGAAGGCTTATCCCGCGGTAGTTGGCGCGAATGGCGGGGTCACCTTTATTGTGGATTGGGCAGAGCACACTTAAATTCCAGTCGTCGGGCATGCGTTCATCTGACCATATTCTGCACAAGAGTTGATGCATGCACCATATCAATTCCCCGCACCATATCAATTCCCCGCCGCCGTGCTTGAATACCTCAGCTGGCAGGCTGTCAGCTTCAGCGGCTTTGTTGTTTTTCAGCAGTGTTATTGCTATACGTACCTCGTCATAGTCAGGCGGTGGACTTTCCGTGCTGCTACCATTTAGTAGGGCGGAAAAGTGTTCCCTCCATGATTTAGGTACGCTCTGGACATCAGTTACTAGGTCGCCATTATTGTTCTTACAGGAGTACGCCCCGGTCTTTAAACCTTCCATAAGTCGCCTAACTCTCTGGTAAAATTTTCGGGCATTCTTCCTGTCGGCCAGCATTTCAAGCTCTTCGCACTCACGTATTTCGGCCTCTCTCGTCTTATTGCGGCAAATACGTCTCGCTTCCCTCTTCAGATCCCTATAGCGTGGCCCTGTAGGCGGCATCTTTTTTCTCTGCAGCTTCGTGACAATCCTCATCGTACCAGTTGTTCTTTCGGGCTCGCTGAAATCCGATTACTTCTTCGGCGGCGGTACTTAATGAGCGGGAAATGTAGTTCCACTGCTCGCATATGTCATACATACCTATTTGAATAAAATGATAGCCGTTTTCGTTGTTCGGACTAAACTCAAAAACCACTGAATATAGTTCTGTCAGATTGTCGGAGATTATCTTACATACATACGTATATGGTCCTATTACATGCTACTAGAAAACTCGCTAGGTGGTGCTGGAGTAGAGCTATTTATAAAAATCGTATTTATTAACCGATTTCGTTCAAATTTTAAATGTGAGCTATGTACCTGTATGACGGAAAATTCTTTTGATAAAAATTATTTTGGCCCAATCAAGTTAGCTCAACAAATAGGGGCAAGCTTACAATAATTCGCATTGAGCTGAAATTTACTAAGAATGTTGGGTAGATATGCTATTGTAAATGAAATTTTGAAAAGCCCCATAAACTCCACACCAGCAATAAAAAAATGTAATCGAGGTCAAAGGTCAAATAAATTGTTTTTTGTTGTTTTTTTTTTTTGTAAACGCGCCAAGTACACTCATACAATACACAACTGTATGGATTTAAATCACTCACCTTTATGCGAAGTTTAATTGTGCGATTTCCGAGATTATAATTTTTATGTTCAGATTATAGAACCCTTTTGCTTCTCTTTCCTGATTTAGTGTTAAAATTTTTATTTTTTAATTTCAATATCTGTTTTGACTTAATTCAGTTGGAATATATTTACATACATTTGATAAGTAAAAACACTCAATTATGAAGTATGAAAACAGCGTTAATTTACGCACGACCTTATTTCACAATTATGTATGCACTTACAGGTATGCACTGTATTTCTGTATATACATATGACATACATAAGTACTTGAAAATGTATTTTCTATACAAATATGTATTCGTGATATATGTATAAAAATATGAACACTTAACTTTGATCAGCAGAGATGTGAATGCATAAGTATGTATGTATATGAATTATTTATGCACATATTTTTCGTTGGTACATATGTTTTTCACACTATATACACTTTTGTTATTGTAACACATTTATGTACGTTTTTGCGCTAACTCTTTGCGCTATACAGTTGCTCAGCTTCCTTTGGCTGTTACTTATTCCTTTTTTTTTGTTTAGCCAACCAATTACAGCAGCCTTTTAAATTCGTTGCCTTCACTGCCTATTTTCACTTTTTTCTTTCGCCGTTTTCTTTCTGCAAATGGGTTTGCAAAAATTCACTTTCAGAATGTATCTATTTATACTTAACGCTTTTGCATTACAAACGAGCTAATTAATAACTTTTATTTGTTTTGTTTGCTATATTGCATTTCACACATTTGTTGTTGTTGTTGTCGCTTTTCAGCTTTTCGCACACTAACCACAAAACGCTAAACTCCGCAACACTTCGTTTGCTCCTTCCACTTGAGCCGCGCCGATACAACTAGAAACTTCCGTGTTCTTATTTCGTGCAATTTTCGCGTTTACTTCCGGCCCGCGAAGTTGTGCTTCCGCTCGTGGACACTCACACACACACTCACTTGGCTGCTGCTCGTACGTGGGGTTCGGTTGCTCACTTCGTTTTCACAGTCGCTGCTGCGGCTGTTGCTGCGGCTTACGTTGCTGTCGACTCCTACTATTTTGTGGCGAGATTCTGCTTGGTCTTCTACTCCTGGCGCTTTCTTTTTGGGACATCGAATTGAATGAGTTCTTTAAATGCGTGACGACGGCGTATATGCTGTTTCGCAGTCACCCGAAACATACGAATGTGTGGCTGTGTGTGCGTCGCAGAATCTGTGCCGATATGTGTGTGTGTGTGTGTGCTTCTAATTTTGTGCTACTCTACAACAAAATGCTATTTTTAGCAATCAGGACAAGGCGTTCGCCTTCAACGACTGTTGTTGTTGTTGTTTTGACCTCTTTGCTATGCTGCCCGTTTATCATACATACATACATATACATACACATATGTACGAGTACGAACCCTCTAATTTTGTTATTGCTCTTTTTTATGGTTCATTTTTGCAATATTTGTTTTTTTTTTATTAGTATTTCGCCTTGTCTTACAACTCAAATGCACTGTCGTTGTTTTATGTTGTTGCTGCGTTTTACGACTATTACTCGCTGTTTTGTTTTGATTCACCGTCCACAATCGGAAGGTGCACTTTGCCCAGTCTCTCTCTCTGAGTTGCATTTGTTTAACGCGCAAACCGATTTATTGTTGCGGAATGTCAGAGAGTGGCAGGGCATGCGTATGGGCGAAGAGCGCTTTATTTATAATCATTCAAGATTGTTTGGTGTTTTTTTTTTGTTTTTTAATTAAACACGCTGCCTCTTGAAACCTTTGCTCTTAAGCACCAACTCTCTTCGAATGAAGTGGTGGACGTTCAATTCAATTCAAGCAACAGAAGCCAACACCACAACGCCAGGCAGCAACCAACCGTCGCGCAAACGTGCCGCTCTTCTGTTCTGCCGCCTCTTTGGCCCACGTTCAGTCAAAACATTGGGTCGCACCTCCTTTAGGCCTTCGCTGGCATCGTGGCTGCTGAGTTTGGGTTTTTGTTTTCTTTCTGCCTGCTACCTCCACCGCCGCCTCTTTGCTGACTCTTGCTGCTGAGCTGGTCTGGTATGTTTTGTTGGCTGGGCGAGTTTGTGTGGCCGTGTGTGTGTGTGGGTGTGCATGCGTGCGTGCGTGTGTTGTTGGCTCTTTGTTGTTCAGAAATGAATTTCGCATAAATTTGCTGCTGCGTAGTATTTTATTTAGTGTCTTTTTTCACTACTACTTACTATCTGCTGCTCCAAATGTGCCGCCCGCCTTGCAGCGCTGCCCTTAACCGTTGGATATTTGTTTGTTTGTGTTACGGATAAAGTACTCTGGAGAACGATGTGGAGAGTTTGGGGCGAAAAATTCGCTTTTTTTCAATGTGAAATTCGAGTTGCAGTTGGCACAAGTTTTTGGGGTTGTTTTTTTTTTTCTTTGATGTCGCGAACACAATTTTGGGTATATTTCGCCACAAAGGTTTGGCTCATCCAGAAGTATCTGTTTTGGTGAAAATTTCTAGCAAACTTTTAGGCGCATTTGTAACAATGCTACACAAAGATTTTCAAGTTTTTAACTTTTAGTGCATTTTCATGCGGTTTTGAAATCACTAGAAACTCTTGAAACTTCTATCTCTACCAACAATATTTTTTTTTATTTTTTATTCATTTTGCTTGACTTAAACTGTCGTTCTAGTATGTAGTGTGTGTATCTGAGCACTAGTAGCGTTAAGCAACTTTTCATAGCATTTGCACAAAATTTTTTTGTACTGCAGTTTTTATTTCTTGCTGCTCGACTTGGTTTGATTTGGTATAAATTGTTTTGTATTTGTACGTAGGCGCGCGCGTCCGTAACTCTCTCACACATCCTTTTAAACGCAAAGTTATGAACATACTGAGTCTGCGAGTATTTAGGGTGGCGCCGCCAACTAGCAGGCACTTAGCGGCGAGTCGCACCAGCAGCAGCAGCAGCAGCAACAGTGGCAGTAGCAGCAACAGCAACAGCAGCGTGTGGCCGTGTGGGAATGAAAGAAACGCCAATACGACGAGCAAAGAGCCTGCGAAACAACATAGGCACCGTGCAACACAAGCACAACAAAAAAAGAAGAAAAAAAAAACAAATAGTATGTGCCACAATAACGTTGGTGAATGCCCACTTTGCGGTGATCTACATATGTATGTATGTATATATGTATGTAGGCATGTAGTTTGTGGCGGTACCTACTCTTGATTTCGCGCTTGCTGCCAGTACCTCTGTGCTTATGAATTTAACTGGTTGCAAGCGTTTTCGCTCTTATCGCGCGCTCTTAAATTACATCGGACTATGCAGTTATTCAACGAACTACTACCTAGTAGCTGCTCTTCTGATCCAAAAAACGAAAACAATTGGAAAGGCATCTGTTTGTATTAATGGCATTCTTCGGGCGTTGTTATGCAAGAGAGGCGCGTAAGTAGGTACAAGCACTTTGGCCGCGCACCCAACACACACACACACGTTCGCCTTAATCTCACACCACCCAGATGCATGTCGCAGTCTATAAAATTTGCTCTTCATTAGCCGGTAAAGGCGAATAATAATACTTGCGCTCACCTTTCTGTGTACTTGCTCTTTACGCCTCTCTCCAACATACTAACACATATACATATAAACATACAAATGTAGCGCAGTATTTCTGTTTCCGCTTTTTTCGTCGATTCTGTTTTTGTCGCTCATTTCGCATTCTTGTATTCGCTCGTTCCGACCCAGCAAACACAATTTCAAACGTTTGAGCAAAGTGTGTTTCTCAATTTGATATAAAATCTTTTTCTCAAATGATTCTCAAATTGTAAAGGAGGTTTAAGTTTTACATTTGAAATTCATTTGTGATTGATTTGAAAAAAGTGGGCGAGTGTCAAAAGATATATAAAAATGCGCAGTTAAATCAAAAATTTTAAGAATCAAATTAAGATCAATCGAAAAAAAACAATGAATAATGGATTTGATGTTTGCGCGGATTGAAGAAGCTGCAGTCCTTTAAGACGAATTTATTAGAAATTGCTTTATATTAATTGTTTCTTTTGTTATGTACACACATAAGTAAATCGTGTAGAAAAAATAAATAACGGGTGATTTTTTTGAGGTTAGGATTTTCATGCATTAGTATTTGACAGATCACGTGGGATTTCAGACATGGTGTCAAAGAGAAAGATGCTCAGTATGCTTTGAAATTTCATCATGAATAGACTTACTAACGAGCAACGCTTGCAAATCATTGAATTTTATTACCAAAATCAGTGTTCGGTTCGAAATGTGTTTCGCGCTTTACGTCCGATTTATGGTCTACATAATCGACCAAGTGAGCAAACAATTAATGCGATTGTGACCAAGTTTCGCACTCAGTTTACTTTATTGGACATTAAACCAACCACACAAGATCTTGGTGTAAAACCGTATAAAATACAGCTCGTGCAAGAACTGAAGCCGAACGATCTGCCACAACGTCGAATTTTCAGTGAATGGGCCCTAGAAAAGTTGGCAGAAAATCCGCTTTTTTATCGACAAATTTTGTTCAGCGATGAGGCTCATTTCTGGTTGAATGGCTTCGTAAATAAGCAAAATTGCCGCATTTGGAGTGAAGAGCAACCAGAAGCCGTTCAAGAACTGCCCATGCATCCCGAAAAATGCACTGTTTGGTGTGGTTTGTACGCTGGTGGAATCATTGGACCGTATTTTTTTCAAAGATGCTGTTGGACGCAACGTTACGGTGAATGGCGATCGCTATCGTTCGATGCTAACAAACTTTTTGTTGCCAAAAATGGAAGAACTGAACTTGGTTGACATGTGGTTTCAACAAGATGGCGCTACATGCCACACAGCTCGCGATTCTATGGCCATTTTGAGGGAAAACTTCGGAGAACAATTCATCTCAAGAAATGGACCGGTAAGTTGGCCACCAAGATCATGCGATTTGACGCCTTTAGACTATTTTTTGTGGGGCTACGTCAAGTCTAAAGTCTACAGAAATAAGCCAGCAACTATTCCAGCTTTGGAAGACAACATTTCCGAAGAAATTCGGGCTATTCCGGCCGAAATGCTCGAAAAAGTTGCCCAAAATTGGACTTTCCGAATGGACCACGTAAGACGCAGCCGCGGTCAACATTTAAATGAAATTATCTTCAAAAAGTAAATGTCATGGACCAATCTAACGTTTCAAATAAAGAACCGATGAGATTTTGCAAATTTTATGCGTTTTTTTTAAAAAAAAAGTTATCAAGCTCTTAAAAAATCACCCGTTATAAAAAGTACATTCCCTATAATAAATTTTATTTCCACATTTGAACTACAATTGATTCTCAAATGGAGATCAAACTCTCCTTTTTATTGAGAATGCTGTAATTTTCAAATCAATATCAAATCATTTTCAAACCTTTGACATTTGAGAAAGGCTTTGATTTCAAATCATTCTCAAATATATAGCAAACCTAATTGTTTGCTGGGCATTGCTTTTCGTTATGTTTTGTTCACAATGCTGCTATATTCATTTCGTGTCGCGCTCTCTTTTGCACCAGCACTTTGAAGAATATTATGTTGAATACTCGTATCTTATCACTGTCGCACTTCGCATGCGCTGTTGCTCCTCTCCTCTTCCGTTTCATTTTCTCGCATATTTCCGCTCTGTTTTGGTATATAATCGCTTCTGTACAGCAACAAAACAAAGCAACTACGCGGCGGCGGCGGCGTATCTTGAAAAGTTTTTGACCTTTGCCTG